CTAACAAAAACTCATGAACTCCAAAAACGAAAAAATCAGACTGACTTAAGAGCTGGTCGTGGCTGTATCGACCACATATTCACCATTCGCCAAGTTTTAGAACACAGTCATGCTTATCGGCGTCCGACAATGATAGTTTTTCTTGACTTGAAAGCAGCATTTGATTTTGTAGACCGAGAGGTTCTGTGGCATTGTCTTTCATTGAAAGGTGTACCTGAGAAGTACATAAACCTTGTGAAGGCTCTTTACTCGAACACTATTAGTCGAGTGAGAGCTTATGGTGAACTGTCATATGATTTTACAACCTCAAGTGGTGTCCGTCAAGGTTGTCCACTATCCCCATTTTTGTTTAACTTCATTATAGACCTGTTGCTGGAAATAACACTCTCGTCGACTGAATTTTCAGGAATTGATCTTCTACCAGGAGATTCACTTATCGACTTAGAATACGCAGATGACATAGTCCTGTTTGGTGAAGACACTGACAAAATGCAGAGTCTTCTGTTAGAACTGAGTAATAATGCCAGGATGTTTGGGATGCGTTTCTCCCCATCCAAATGTAAATTGTTACTCCAGGACTGGCCTGCGTCAACACCTGAACTAAGGATAGGGAGTGAAGTAGTCGGACGCATGAACAACTTCACTTATCTTGGAAGTCTGATCAGCCCTAATGGGTTGGTGTCAGACGAAATCTCAGAACGGATTCAAAAAGCTCGTTTGGCTTTTGCCAACTTATGTCACCTATGGCGAAGACGAAATATCCGTCTATCAATTAAGGGACGAGCGTACTGCGCAGCAGTTCGTTCTGTTTTACTCTATGGCTGCAAAACATGGCCATTAAGAGTAGAAGATACTCGTAGGTTACTAGTATTTGACCACAGATGTCTTAGAAATATTGCTCGCATCTGCTGGGATCACCGGGTAAGTAATAGTGAGGTTAGACACAGGGTATTAGAGAATGATGGTAAATCAGTTGATGAGGTCATGAATCTTCATCAACTGAGATGGTTGGGCCACGTGTTACGTATGCCTGAACACCGATTACCACGACTCGCTATGCTGACTAGTATTATGGATGGTTATAAGAAAGTTAGGTGCTGCCAAACCAAAACGTGGCATCAGTCATTGAAGTCACTAACTTCTAGTCTGAGCCATGTTGGTAGATGCAGACTACCTGGTTGGGGTCCGGGTGACTATCGTAACCAATGGTTGGAGACTCTGGGTGACATGGCTCACAATCGATTACAATGGCGTAGGTGTATACACTCCTTATCTTCCATTAAACCTAGATATTAAAATTCCTTCATATCTTTATTTCTTCCCTTACTATATCCATATATACAACCTATTTTTTATTTACTACCACCAACACTAAATTAACTATTTCTATGAATCCGGTGTTCATGTTGTTGTGCTAACGAGGTATGGCAATTTGGACCGATGCATAAATGTGCCTGGTCCTACATTGTAGCTGACTGACTGTTCATCAATGATGCTGCCCAGATATGTAAAGGTTTCCACATCTTCCAAAGCTTCTCCATCAAGTGTAAATTGATTGATGCATATTGTATTGTATCGGAGAGTCTTGCTTTCCTCTTTGTTTATATTGAGACCTACTGTTGGTGAGGCTGCTGCTACACTGGTCGTTTTCTCCTGCATTTGTTGTTGCGTTTGTGATAGAAGAGCCAGATCATCCGCGAAGTCTAAATCGTCAAGCTGCATCCTGCCTGTCCACTGTATCTTGTGATTTCCTCCAGTTGTTGACGTCTTCATGATCCAGTCGATCACCAGGAGATAGAGAAAGGGTGAGAGTAAGCAACTTTGCCTTACACCGGTCTTTACTTGAAACGAGTCGGTGAGTTGTCCTCCGTGGACGATTTGGCAGTTTAGTCCATCATAGGAGTTCCGTATGATATTGACAATCTTCTCAGGCACGCCGTAGTGTCGAAAAAGCCTCCATAGTGTCGTCCTGTCCACTCTATCAAATGCCTTCTCGTAGTCGATGAAGTTGATGTAGAGTGATGAATTCTATTCGATTGATTGTTCCACAATGATACGTAGAGTTGCGATTTGATCTGTGCACGATCTATCCTTACGAAATCCAGCTCGCTCTCATACCTAATATAAATTTAATACAGTTATAAGGTGCAGATTTTGTGTTCTCAGCTCTATATTGCATGTTTTGGCGTGGTCCATTAATACTCTTAGGGTACCCTAAGTAAAATAGATAAACCAGCGTTCAAATTTGCTACCTGATCCTAGAAGATGGACTACCTTGTTAATTAGGTTTTTGATAGCTTTACGATTTGTTCGTCTGGGAAGTTCAATGCTCCTCATTTTGTTTTTATAATATTATAAATCAATTATTAGTAACTAAACTACATGTCTAGTCAGTTGAAACAGCGGATATCAAGTGTCAGTGTTTAGTTTTATTATGCTAGATTGTGAGAAACACTTGTTATATGAATGCTAATTAGAATTATTGTGTTAACAGGATAAAGTCCTGATGATTTCACACTCAGTCTTGAGTCAGATTTGTGAGATATGAGCGAATAATTAGAGAAATTCGAACCAATGGTACTACTGTACGGCGAATTATTTTGTATACTTATACTGTACTTATTAAATATTTTGTTTGTTGTGTTTTTTTAATCATCCTAATTGTAAATTCCCATTTAATTCGTTATTTATTGATATATTTTTACTGTTGGTATATTACTTACTTACTTACGCCTGTTACTCCTCGTGGAGGAGCATAGGCCGCTCACCAGCATTCTCCATCCATCTCTGTCGTGGGCAATCCTTTCCAGTTGTTATTCATCCTTTTCATACCTGCTTCTATTTCCCGGTGTAATGTGTTCTTTGGTCTTCCTCTTTTCCGCTTCACTTCCGGATTCCAAGTTAGGGATTTCTTCGTGATGCACATTTCCTTGATGTATGTCCTATCCACTTCCAACGTCTTTTCCTAATTTCCTCTTCAGCTGGAAGCTGATTTGTTCTCTCTCATAAAAAGCTGTTGCTGATAATATCCGGGTTTATATATTGCTGTCAACTATTTGTTCCACTATTATTCAGCTTTGTATCATAAATGACATATTTACATACATATAGTGATTTCCTATCTCTAATGCTCTATAGTCATATAATTGATGTAAATATTATCATAAGTTCTAAGTCGTTCTGTGATTGGCTGTTGGGACAAGAAGGATACCAGGTCCAATAGGCGTTAGGTTGACCAAGTTCTGTTAATAGTTATTCGATTTGTTAGTTAAAGCAAAAATCGTTAATTAGTTTGATCGGTGTAAAACAAATTCTTCATTATCAGAACTTGCAATCTGGTGTTTAGGTTATGTGAGCAATATAGAAAGTTGAATTCACTACAAAATCCGAATATTTTGTTTGACTCGTTTCTAACCAATCACTGCCGTTGAAGGGATCTAGAGTAGAGCTGAGGTTTCTCTTGTAATTTCTATACTATCGTTTTCTTACTGTTGTAGATTTTGTTATCCCAATAATTTTCACTTGTCGTTCTAGTGCGGATGAAGTTGAGTGAATTGTAGTAGCAAAGGAATACTAGATAAACAGGGACTATGTATTCGTAGGCTACTAGTATTCGAAGCATTGCTCGTATATTCTGGGACCATCGAGTAAGTAATGGAGTTTTTAGGAAACGGGTACTAGGTAAGGATGGCAAGTCAATTGATGAAGTAGTGAAACCTCATCATTTGAGATGGCTGGGACACGTATTGCGTATACTCAACCACCGACTGCCCCGACGTGCGATGTTTTATGTTGTAGGAGTAGATTGAAAGAAAGGTAGGGGTGGCCAGACCAAAACGTGACACAAATCCATGAAGTCACTGACAGTTGGACTGAACCATGTTGGTAGGTGTAGACTACCTGGTTGGGATTCGCGAGATGATAGCAACCGATGGTTAGAGACCTTGAATGACATGGCTCAAAATCGTTTGCAATGGAGAAGGTGCATCCACTCTTTGTGTTCTGCCAAATTATAATCTTTTGAATTCTTCATGTCCCTCTCTTTTTTCTCTTTCAAGATTTATTTCACTGGATTATACTTATTGAATATCTTCAAACCCTAATCTTTCACATTAGTACTTATACTCTTACTACCTCTACCACTATGGGATTTGAATCGACAACTTCATCTCAACTTCATCTGTGCTAATGTATGGCAACTCGAATTGATGTATGTACGAAGTTCTACGTTATGACTGACTGACTGAGGGACTATGTAACTTGCCTGCTTTAACTTTTATTTTTTGAGTTGCATATAAACCAGTGACCCATTTATTTACATTCATATCCTTAAACTAAGTTTTTCATTACTTGAAACTGTTTAGTTTAAATAAGCTAGTTACTTCGAGATGACTACCCAACCTGATTTATGTACATGTTAGATGACTGCAAATTGCGACTACAAATGCCCTGGTACGGCCGAGAGTGGGGAGAGTGCACTCTCCCTCGGCAAATGCTCTCACATGGCCACGCGTGTATAGCCTCTGGCAGGGAAGTCCTACTCACTGCCTTCTTGTGGCATTACTGTTGTTTACGAAATTGAGAGGACGAAATGCAAACGTCCGGCGCTTTAACCGGGTTGGTGTACACGGAAAGTCCACCTAGAGGCGTTCGAAAACCCTGATTCTAAACCAATGGTGAACACGAGCTTTAGGATCTTGCAATAACAAATGGCGTATAAACCAATCGTTGGTCACCGGCTACCATGAGACTGCATCTTACGATGCTCCACTACCTTATGGATCAGACCTTTAGATCAAAGGCTCTGGGTGTGGCCCCCTAAGAAAAAAAACCTGCTTCGGTCTGGGCACCTGAGCAGTATCACAGCCCTCACACAAATCGAATGAGATTTGTATGGCACATATGTATCTGGTGCCCCTTTGTACCAATATTTATGTGTTCAAATAAAGAAATAAATAAACTGCAAACTGAAAAATTGTTTTGCTTATCACTTTTTTTAGAACGATTCTTAATAGATCTTTCATTTCAACATCTAATGGATAATCAAGCAAATCAAAGTAAATCAAATACTGAATTAACCATGACAACAGACAAGTCAAATGTCTTACATATATCACCACTTCAATCAACATGTAAGTACTGGATTAATATTATCATTTGGAGGTTTTTATTCTGTTTACTGGAATGTTCAAAAAATTATCAATGATGTTTACTGGAATGTTATAGACTTGTTGGGTTTATTTATATATTATAAGTTTAATTATTAATCTGTATAAATATGCTGTGGAAGATACTCGTAAGTTACTAGTATTTGACCACAGATGTCTTAGAAATATTGCTCGCATCTGCTGGGATCACCGGGTAAGTAATAGTGAGGTTAGACACAGGGTATTAGAGAATGATGGTAAGTCAGTTGATGAGGTTATGAATCTTCATCAACTGAGATGGTTGGGTCACGTGTTACGTATGCCTGAACACCGATTACCACGACTCGCTATGCTGACTAGTATTATGGATGGTTATAAGAAAGTTAGGTGCTGCCAAACCAAAACGTGGCATCAGTCATTGAAGTCACTAACTTCTAGTCTGAGCCATGTTGGTAGATGCAGACTACCTGGTTGGGGTCCGGGTGACTATCGTAACCAATGGTTGGAGACTCTGGGTGACATGGCTCACAATCGATTACAATGGCGTAGGTGTATACACTCTTTATCTTCCCTTAAACCTTGAAATTAAAATTGATTCATAACGTTCTTCCTTCCTATACTATATCCTTATATATAACCTATTTTTTATTTACTACCACCAACACTAAATTAACTATTTCTATGAATCCGGTGTTCATATTGTTGTGCTAACGAGGTAAGGAAACTTGGACCGATGCATAAATGTGTCTGGTCCTACGTTATCGCTGACTGACTATTAAGGTGAGGCTCTAATTTATGGATGAACCAACTAGGTATAAGACAACACGTCTCAGATTTTGGCGTCAAATTCACTCATCCATTTGGCTAAATGGAGTTTTGAAATTATAACTGATGTCAGTTGGCAATGAAAACCTTAAATCTGATTCTTAACCATCAACTGTAATTTATAATTATAATTCCTCACACTAGTTTATAACCCTCATTTGGTCCTAGTTCTTAGGTGGATACTCTCAAGGTCAGTTTAACGTTGCTCAAAGAGCGTTCATAAATTATAGTTTGACCGCTATTAAAGTTAAAATGAGGTGTCATACTTTTCGATTCATTAACCAGCAGACCAATGCACAATATTTTGAACTATTAGTAGTACATAAGATACTCAATTATTTCTTTGGAATCATAATTAGTGTATTAGTCTACTGCTCATCAAATTGGATTTTTTGGTTTTATGGGTATTTAAAGTAGATGGTGAGCAATTTTCATGGAATATATTAGGTGAATTGTTGAGTCGGCTTCCGGAGAACTTAAACGGAGCCTCCAGAGGCCCAAAAGTGGTCGAAGATCCCTAGCCAATCAGAGTGTGATGGAACATTCTAGAATTCCAACGTGGCGTGCTACTATTGGTCGGTAGCATAGTATTTCGTTAATGGATTTTCTAAAATATGATGTTGATATAACAGACGCTAACATCTATAAATACCCATGATTTTCTGTACAAGGACGAACCTTGAAGTAAAGTATTATCTCTCCTACTTGCGTCTTCTCTCTGGTGTTCAAGTCGCTTGGTAGTTCTAGCCTGTGGGTTATCAGAATCGCTTGGGAAACGAATATAGCGTACAATCAACAAGACTTATGATGAATGAATATTCAATAATCGTTATCTTTCATTTACTTATGTAATAATGTTTAGATTACTATTTCATCTTTCCGTAATGTGTAAATTGTAGAAGTGTACACATTGAAAGTAGTTATTAAATTATCTGATTTATTTAGTCTACTTCTATTAAGTGAATACCTGCTTCGGTTTGGGCACCCGTACAGTATCCTAACCCTCTGGTGGACACGGAAAGTCCACCTAGAGGAGTTGGAAAACCCTGTTTTCAAACCAATTATGCACATGAGCTCCAGTATCCTGAGGGAACAAATGGCATATGAATCAATCGTCGGTCACCGACTACCATGGGACTGCATCTCCTTATGATGCTCCACTGCATTGTGGATCAGATCTTTAGGTCAAAGGCTCCGGGTGTGGCCCTCTAAGAAAACCACCTGTTTCAGTTTGGGCACCCGGGCGGTATTACAGCCCTCACACAATTAAATGAAATGACATTTTTTTATGGTGAATTAGCATCTGATGCCTTTTTTGTACCAATATTTATGTGTTTAATTAAATAGAATAGTAATATAGCAAAAATGAAAATGCAAAAAATCATGTGAATAAAATTTATAGCAGGAGAATTTCATCTTGTCAATTGAGATAATAATAATAAGATTGTTGTGTGAATATAATACGTAATAAGAAGGGTATCATCAAGGTAATTACGATAAACGAATTGGGAATGACAGATGTGAAGATTAAGATTGAGGTGACCAAAAAAGGGGAGGGGGAAAGGGGTTTATAATATTCAGTTTAGGTATTCAATGACCCAGTCGTAAGCCAAGGTAAACATAGAGGCTGGATGTATCTTTTCTGGATACATAAGTTTGGTTTTCTGCAGTTGATCCAGATAGCTTCGGCTATGTAGAGTAACCGTAATCTAGCTCCATAAGGTAGATTTTTTTTTCGAAATTTAATATAAAACAGAGAAAGCTTCCTCTATTTTGATATGATATTCACTATCTACCAAATGAGAAAGGATGTTGTTGTTAATGGATTTGGTGACTTCTTTTCCTATCCATGCTGGTACATGTTCACGACTACACAAGGATAAGCATATAATTTTACTACATGAGAAACTTATTCTTTCGGGTAAATTGTTTTATCTTTCGATACGGCCGAGAGTGGGGAGAGTCCGTTCTCCCTCTCCAAACGCTCTCACATGGCCACGCCTATATAGTCTCTGTCAAGGAAGTCCTACTCACTGCCTTCTCGTGACATTACTGTTGTTTACGAAATTGAGAGGATGGAAAGCGAATGTCCAGCGCTTCAACCGGGTTGGTGGATACGGGGGATTCACCTAGGGGAGTTGGATAACTCTCATTCTGTTATATCTTGTGGCCGAGTGGATGCCTAGTTAATATGTGATTTGATGAGACCGCCAATTAGGGAGCAGCGAATTATCGATTGGAACAGTGACACACGAAACCCGTACGAGCAGGCTAAAGTGCTAATCGGTCCTGCCATCTATCTAGCCCAGCTAGTTAAGTCCAAAACACCAATAACAGCCTCTGTGGTATGAATCATTGTATTTCAAACATACTGAGTTTATATACCAAACAGACTGACCAAATCGCACCAATAAAATAGAAAATAACATTTGTACAAGATCAAGCCAAATGTGGCTGTGAATGTGGGAGACAATAATCAATAAACTGAGTATAATTTAGGAACAGTAAATCGTATGATAATAATCCATCGATCAAAATGAAGCTTATAATAAGATGAATATAGATATACACAATGTAATTCGTGAATAGTCATACAATAAGTTTGTATATAGAATAATAGTCCATTCATGGGACCTTGGAGTTACCCGTACTTATATCTTCACTAGGATATACAACACACTGATCATCAGTATTTTTTTGGTTCATTCATTCATCTTTAAATGCCTATGAAAAACAGTAGTATATTACAATTCGGTTACTAATTATAATTCTATTTAATCGACTTGTAAGTAAGTTATACTATCCACCTTCATACAATCTGACTGAAAAGAATGTTATTCGTTTCATTCAAATTTTCAGCTGAATTATCATCACCATCGTCATCGTCGAGAAAACGTCGTTCTATATCGTATGCTATTTCTAGATTGAAACAAATGAAAATGGTAAGTAGTTTTTCTTTCTTTTTTTCCGAAAACATTTCTTACCCAGAATGTTTTTTTCACAGTATTTTTTAAACACATAAATATTGGTACAAAGGGGAACCAGATATATATGCGCCGCACAAATCTTATTTGATTTGTGTGATACTGCCCGGGTGCCCAAACCGAAACAGGTGTTTTTCTTATGGGGGCCACACCCGAAGCCTTCGATCTAAAGATCTGATCCATAAATCAGTGGAGCATCGAAATGAGATTCAGTCCCATGGTAGTCGGTGACCAACAATTGATTCATACGCCATTTGTTCCCTCAGGATACTGGAGCTCATGTGCATAATTTGTTTGAAAACAGGGTTTTCCAACTTCTCTAGGTGGACTTTCCGTGTCCACCAGCCCAGTTATAGCGCCGGATATTCGCTTTTCGTCCTCTCAATTTTGTAAACAACACCCCTGCCACGAGAATGCATACGAAGTCTGCTAAATACTTAGATTATATATATGTACTGTTCTTTAAAACCTTCAGTTTTTTGGTTATTTCAATGAAGTCATGATTCTAGAGTTCGACCAAAAAATCATCTGCCACATAATATTAACTTATCAATGTCTATTTTAACAGATACCTAAAATTTATATTTGCTTAATCTATGATCCTACTGTTGTAAACGAGAACACGGGTGGGGACAATCGCATGTATTTAAGCACAAATTACAGACTAACTTACTAAGATCTGATAACTGTACAGTAAACAGTCAATTGGCAAAATAATAACCAATTGTCTCAATCTTCACTGTTCCTTCTGTAAATACCAATCCATCTTCTCTAATTTCATTGTTCACGCATTTTCGTACTGATTGCACTTCATTTCAGTTCTTTCATTATCGGTCTTCTACTGAAATACATTCTATGTTTGACCATCACTATATACTACTTATATGGATATAAGTAGACCACACTACACTACAACCTGTCATAATTAAATGATAAGCTTTAAAGTTTCATTTATAATCTAAAACATTTACTTTAAAAAGTTAGTCTTATTTAAAAAGATGTTAATTGTTTCATTATTAATTATATTTCATTAGGCTCAACAAGAAATGCATCTTGAATCCAATACTTCTTCTGATAACATTGATGTGACACATTCTCTAACAAATGCACGATCAGGTAAGTAAGCAGTGTTTTTTGTTGTTGTTGAAAAATGCAAACATTACACTCAGTCAATCAGTCAGTCACAACGTAGAACGTCGTACATACGTACATACATCAGTTCGAGTTGCCATACTACATTAGCACAGAGATGCAGTTGTCGATTCAAATCCCATAGTGGTAGAAGTAGTAAGAGTATAAGCACTAATGTGAAAGATTAGGGTTTGAAGATGTCATTCAAGAAGTATAATCCAATGAACTAAATTTGTAAAGAGAAAAAGAAAGAAAGGGACTTTAAGAATTCAGAAGATTATAATTTGGGAGAACACAAAGAGTGTATGCACCTTCTCCATTGCAAACGATTTTGAGCCATGTCATTCAAAGTCTCTAACCATTAATTGCTATCATCTCGCGAATCCCAACCAGGTAGTCTACACCTACCAACATGGTTCAGTCCAATTGTCAGTGACTTCATGGATTTGTGTCACATTTTGGTCTGGCCACCCCTTTCTTTCTTTCAATCTACTCCTACACCATGAAACATCGCACATTGGGGCAGTCGGTGGTTGGGCATACGTAACATGTGTCCCAGCAATTTCAACTAATCAAGTTCCACAACTTCATCAGTCGACTTGCCATCCTTACCCAGTACCTGTTTCGTAACAACTTCATTACTTACCCGGTGGTCCCAGGATATGTGAGCAATGCTTCGAAGACACTATTTTTTACTGTATGACTTCTAAGTTATTGACATTGTTACTGAGTCATTTAAAACTTAAAATTCACTGATTAGTGAAATGTCATTCGTAACCAAGATTTTCAGCTGTCAATTAATTTTTCAAGGTTCGTCTTTGAGTGACAACATTTTAAATATCTAATGGTGTTTTCTCCAGACAGTAGGATACCCTTTGGTAATGAATATCAACAAGTTTAAGATTTGGAGGTTAGGGAGTTTTGTAGTTTGACTTTAAAGAGCTTGTTCTGAGTACTGTCTAGGAACTGTATAAACTAACTAGAGAAACTCGATCATCATTGTATAGGCTGAAAAGCATAAAGCTCTTCATCAATAAATTTATTGATGACGATCGCTCTGTTTAGAATAGCGATCATGTGTTTGTAAATTATATAATAATCTGCTCCGAGTTTAATAATAAGGTTCAGTGGTGTAAGGGGTTAATATTTAATACTTACATTTTACGAATTTAAATCATACTGTGAGTATGTTGAATCTATTCTCGATGGACTACTACAGTCAGTCAGCTACTACGTAGGATCAGGCACATATATTCATCGGTCCAAGTTGCCCTACCTCGTTAGCACAAAAACATGAACATCGGATTCATAAATGTTAGTGGGACAACTGTTAACTCAGTGATAAATATCAATAATTTTCTTCGATTCAATGGCATTTGTAACAGTTTCAAGTGTTCTCTTTGGAAAACTTTATTCATAAGTCTTGTTTTTCATTTGCTTAGCCAACCAAAAGCGACTGCCTTCAACATTTTAATAAATTTGCATAGTTTTTCTTGAGTTTTACTGGAAGTTCGATGTTAAGCTGCTAATCCACCTTTTAATCAATTTTCTTCTATTACAAGGGGAAAAATCTACATCAAAGCCTCTTGTCGGATCTTTATAGAGTCTTAAAGATTTTGTTTGTTTCCAAGACCAAAACTATTATTACTATTATCATTATTAATATAATAAATATGGTCTGCATTTGGGTGTTTATTCCATATTTTATTTCACATTGTTAAAGTATCCACTAGTATCAAATGCCCTCATATGGCCGAGAGTGGGGAGAGTCCGCTCTCCCTCTCCAAATCCTCTCACATGGCCGCAAGTATATAGCCTCTACCAGGGAAGTCTTACTCACTGCATTCTCGTGGCATTACTGATGTTTACGAAATTGAGAGTGTGGAGAGCGAATGTCCGGCGCTTTAATCGGGTTGTTGAACACGGCGCGTCCACCTAGAGGAGTTGGAAAACCCTGATTCCGAACCAGTAGTGCACATGCGCTCTATTGTTCTGAGGGAACAAATGGCGTATGAATCAATAGTTGTTCACCGGCTACCGTGGATTGCATCCCATTACGATGCTCCATTGCCTTGTGGATCAGATCTTTAGGTTAAACGCTCCTAGTGTGGCCCCATAAGAAAACCATCTGCTGCGGTTTGGGCACCTGGGAAGTATCACAGCCTATACACAAATCAAGTGACTTGTGTTGTACCTATGAGACCCTGAAATTATACAAATTAAATAGATTTATTATCTTCGCTTTCTGACTGACTATTGTAATAAAAAGGGCAGTAGACTACCAGGGTCGATAGATGTTTTTTTATGTCTAGGATTTGTTTTGATTCATTTGCATATTCCTCTTTTATGACTCTCTTAAGATTAATGTTAAGATCAGTTTGTTTTCGGTTATGCAATCAAATATAAAGAGAAAAGCTTTTGAAATGCCATCAATTAAATAATTATCAGAAGGGGGGTTTTGTGGAGATTGTAGTAATTTTATATAGTTGAGATCATGATTCAATTAAAGCTAGACCACTATGGAAAACCTGGAAGCACTGTTTGACGGCCGTTTCGTCCTATTGTGGGACTCCTCAACAGTTCGCACTCACGATCCCGCCTCAGGAGATTCGAACTTAGGACCTATCAGTCTCTCGCGCGAACACCTAACCTCTAGACCACTGAGCCGGACGGCATCCAATGGTGTTCATGCAATATTGTAATCTTATGAAATAATGATATTTGCATTTTTAATCATATTTTTTTCAAATGATTACCCATTTTCTTTTAGATAACACCAGTGACAACAATACAGTACAACTGAATAATAATAACAATCCGACTCAGTTATCGACAATAATTAATAGTGACTCATTACAACAGTCAATTCCTACCGATTTCTCTTCGGATACTTTATCTTTATCACAACTACAACAACCATCACCACAAAGAAATCCATCTCAATCATATAATTCATTGCCTGATGATCATATTAATGTTAGTAATAGTAGTAGTACTACTATTCAACTAAAGATTTCACCAAAAGAATCTTCTTCACATATAAAAATTAAATCATTACCTAATTATACAACGCGACATGATAATAGTCTTAATTGTGTTGTAGCAAGGAATAACTCTTCAAGAATATTTATACAATGCCTTTCTGATAGTGAATCTGATGAATACATTGATCTGGATGATACAAAAATAACAACACCTATTAATGATGTAACTAATCATTCAATTCATATGAATCATTATAATCATACTATAACAGAACAAATACCAACTCAATTATCAAATCATGAAAGTATACAAAAAAACGATATACAATCAAATGAATTGGTTTCTTCTTATGAAACTACTGATAATATTATTAGTAGTAATTCAAATAATAGTGAAATAAAATGCATAAATGATAATAATCATAGTAATAATAAAATTATAGAATCAGATGATTATTGTTGGATATGTCATAAACCTGGTGAAGTGAGTATTTGTCTATAATAGTTACCTATTTCTTTATTTGTATATAGTTCTATTATAGTCGATAGATAGCTTACCCTTATGGGCCAGGGTAATTTTGTACTGGTTTTCAGGAGAACCAGAAACTATTCAGACTTTCACGCGGCAACCTAAGCAGTATAGCTTAATGCCACCCCATATGATAATTAGACACTATATAGGCTTCAACGCTACAATCCGAACAGTATAGCTCAATCCTGTGGCGCAACCACACAGGTACCAAGCACCCTGGTTGACCATTCACACCATTCATGTACACATCCACATCACATGTGTAATTATTACGATCAGTGATCGCGTAAATCAATTATGCACAGCATGAACAAGCCAAAGTTGACCCATTCCGTTTACACGACAGTCAAAATCATTAATGTTAGCAATGGCGATACGCCTTACAATGCTCCAATGACAAAAGCCCGTGACTTAAAGCCACGCATTCGGTGTGTAGAGAAAGGTATCTAGTAATAATTCTCATAATATAAATAAAGCGGAGACTAAAGTAGGTTGGACGAAATTTTAATATTTAACCAAATGTTTGGATACTTTAATTATGAAGTCATCATCTGCGTCTAGGATTTATGTCTATTGGTTGCGTGTCATTCTGTAACGAAGTATCAATTTGTAACTTCTGATGATTATTTCTTCTTTGGACTGAAATGGGGAAATCAAGCTTCGAACCCACGAATCACAATGGTTAAACAATTAAGTAAATTTCGCTTTGACTCTAATCTATAGATTTCAGAGGGTGGATATAATATGTCTAAACAACTGATTGTGGATCTAAGGGTTTACATTTCCATTCAGTTTATATTTATAGACCCAACTGATTTCGTCATTGAGTTACTGCCGCACACTAACTTTCGACGTGGCCTATTCTATTTACTCCACGGCTACATAGTCTCCAGTAAACATACGCTACCAACTCATTTCAGATGAAGAACTATTGAATTCTGTTCTTAAATTATCCATAATATATACTCCATAAAAACACCATCTTACTAAAAAATAATCCTTTTTTGATTAACTTCTGTTCGAGTAATGTCAAAACAATAACTCTGGTTAAATAATATGAATTCACTATATTTCGTAGTTTCTCATCAGTTGCTTACAACAATTGTTATGTATGAAAGTACAACATTGAGAAGTGACAATGTGGAAGAATGGACGTTGATGACAGAAAGAATTAAAATAATCAAGATTACTAATAATAGCTATCTATATGTCTGAGTCTAAACAGCCCCCAAATGCCCTGCTACGGTCGAGAGTGGGGAGAGTCCTCTCTCCTTCTCCAAATGCTCTCACATGGCCACACGTGTATAGTCTCTGCCACACAAGGCCTACTCGCTGCCTTCTCGTGGCATTATTGTTGTTTACGAAATTGAGAGGATGAAAAGCGAATGTCCGGCGCTTTAACCGGGTGGATGGACACGGCGCATTGACCTAGAGGAGTTGAAAAACCCTGATTCCAAACCAATGGTGCACATGGGCTCCAGGATTCCGAAGGAAAAATGGCGTATGGACCAATTGTTGGTCACTGGCTACGATGGGACTGCATCTCCTTACGATTCTCCACTGCCTTGTGGATCCGATCTTTATGTCAAAGGCTCCGGGTGTGGCCCCCTAAGAAAACCACCTGCTTCAGTTTGGGCACCATGGCAGTATCACAGCCCTCAAACAAATCAAATGAGATTTATGTGGCGCATATGTATTTGGTGCTTCCTTGTACCAATATTTATGTGTTTAAATAAATAAAAAGTCTAAACAAGTCTGATGTCATTTGGTGATGAGATTCAATTAAAAAAAACAGACGGAGACGAAACATTGATTAAATGAAGTCCGTAAACTGACAAGATGAATCGTGTGATGATTATAAATATGAAGAGTTTATATAACACACAGATAACTTGAAAATAAATATAGAATATATAGAGTAATGAGGCTATAATCGTCTAGAATTAAAGAATGATAAGATGGATTTAGTAACATTTATGCAAAATCCAAAGAGTTTACATAAATTTATGGATCATCGGATAAGTAATAGTGAGGTTATACACAGGGTATTAGAGAATGATGGTATATCAGTTGATGAGGTCATGAATCTTCATCGACTGAATTGGTTGGGCCACGTGTTACGTATGCCTGAACACCGATTACCACAATGCACAATGCTGACTAGTGTTGGGGATGGTTGGAAAAGAGTTAGGGGCGGCCAAACCAAAACGTGGCATCAGTCATTGAAGTCACTAACTTCTAGTCTGAGTCATGTTGGCAGATGCAGACTACCTGGTTGGGGTCCGCGTGACCATCGTAACCAATGGTTGGAGACTCTAGGTGACATGGCTTAGAATGGATCACAATGGCGTAGGTGTATACACTCTTTATCTTCCCTTAAACCTTGAAATTAAAATTGCTTCATAACTTTCTTCCTTCCTATATTATATTGTTATATGCAATCCTTCTTTTATAAATCACCACCACTAGATTAACTACTTATATGAATCCGGTGTTGATCTTTGTTGTGCTAATGAGTGAGGTATGGCAACTTGGACCGATGATATATGTGTGCGTGGTTCTACGTTGTAGCTGACTGACTGACTGATAGTAGAATGTAAAGCTTAAGACAGATAGTTAAAAAAAGAGAAACTGATGAAATTGAATTAAACGATGAAGAATATAAGAGATATAGATATTTTTGATAATAATATCTAAGCGTTATGTGATATCGCACAAATCCTGTATAAGGGTCATGATTTTCTTCAATTAGTTCACAGGGTACAAATTTGTATACACACTCGTTTGAAGGGCTAGTGATAGTAACCAGTTTCTGACAGTGAAACATGGCCAGTAAGAGTATAGGATATTCGTAGGCTACTAGTATTCGATCATAGGTGTCTTCGAAACATTGCTCGTATATTCTGGGACCACCGGGTAAGTAATGCAGATGTTACGAAACTGGTACAAGGTAAGGATGGCAAATCGATTGATGAAGTAGTGAAACTTTATCAGTTGAAATGGCTGGGACACATGTTACGTATGCCCAACCACCGACTGCCCCAATGTGCAATGTTTCATGGTGTAGGTGAGTAGGTTGTAAGAAAACTAAGGGCGGCCAGACCAAAACGTGGTACAAATCCGTGAAGTCACTGAAAAGTGGACTGAGCCATGTTGGTAGGTGTAGACTACCTGGTGGTATTCGTGAGATGATAGAAACCGATGGTTAGAGACTTTGAATGACATGGCTCAAAATCGTTTGCAATGGCGAAAGTGTATCCACTCTTAGTGTTCTTCCAAATTCTAATCTTCTGAATTCTTCATGTCTCTATTTTTTTCTTTCCAAATTTATTTCACTGGATTATACTCCTTGAATAACATCTTCAAACCTTAATCTTTCCAATTGCTGCTTATACTCTTTCTACTTCTACTAGAATGGGATTTGAATCGACAACTGCATCTCTGTGCTAGTGTAGTATGGCAACTCGAACTGATGTATGTACGTACGTACAGAGTTCTACGTTGTGACTGACTGACATCTTTCAGTATTCTGTTTGCTGATCATGACGCACTTTGTTTGAAATTTTAAATAGTGTGAAATGTCAATGTGATCCTATTTTATGTTCGTTTCCTATTGTTATTATTAAACGTTGATTAGTGATCATTCCACTTTATAGATATTTATCCATTATTTCGTTTTTTTCTCTCTCAAATTTCTCTGGTTTGCTTAGGTTGTTATTTGTAGTTATTGTCCAAGAGTATTTCATGCAATTTGTTTATGTGCAACAGATTTTCCAGATATATGGCTTTGTCCTGAATGTCAAGATGTTATGTTAGCTGAATGTTCATTGTATCAATTAGAATCATGGTGTAAAATTACTAAAGATCAATTGAAACGAATGTTATTCTTTCTTTTGGATCGATTATCTAGACAGTCTTGGGTAAGATTTTAATCCTTTTTTAGTAAATCCTTTGTGTGTACATGCACTTATCTTATTGGGTTTTGTTTTGTAACTCTACTACTAAATCCATGATTAGAACCTGTCTCACTACATAAAACGTTCAGTTGCTTATCTTTTTCTAAACTAGATACTGTCCGATTGGCTTTTTTCTTGCATTTGTCGTTTTCTCATAGTTGAAATCATGGGTCAATTGAAGCTAGACCACCATGAAAAACCTGGAAGCACTAGACGGCCGTTTCGTCCCATTATGGGACTCCTCAGCAGTGTGCATCCACGATCCTGCACTCGCGATATTCGAACCCAGGACCTATCAGTCTCGCGTGCAAGCACTTAACCGATAGACCAATGAGCCGGCATCCAAGGGTGTTAATGTCTAACTTCAACCAATCCACGAAGTTGAGCAACCGTTCACTAATTGTCTTCAGTGAATTGATATCTGTACAACACACTTGGTTGAATTCCACTGTCACTGCTTCCCAATAGAACTCAAGGAAGCCTCCCTTGAAGTCAGTCACTAGTGAGCATATGATTATAGATCAGAAGAGGTTTTGTGGAGATTTCAGTATTTTCAGAGTTGAAATCATCAGTCGATGAAGCTAGACCACCATGGAAAACCTGGAAGCACTAGACGGGTACGGGATCGTGGATGCGCACTGCTGAGGAGTCCCAAAATAATACGAAACGGCCGTCAAGCAGTGCTTCCAGGTTTTCCATGGTGGTCTGGCTTCAATTCCCGACCATTGCTGCTACCCTGACGTGGTGGTCGGGCTTGCCTATCATGATGAACCAATCGAGCTATACTGGCTAAGACATTCGTTCCTCAAGATCCTACCATGCCAGACAGGTCGTTTGAAGAGCGGTAAGACTAAAAGCAGCAAACCCAAGTTTCGAAGGTGACGTTGTACTGTCGACTGTACGGAGATGTGACGGGAGTAAGTTGTTTCCTTCAAACAATCAGTATAACAGCGATACTGCCTTCTCACAAGGAGGGGTAGGGTTAGAAAAGATCGATCCTAAAAATGCACACCTGTCCTTATCCTACGGATATCCAACTCCGGCGGCAAGGTCCCAACAAGTGTGGAGCTAACACAAAATGGTTGTATATGACCGACCTCAATCAGTTGTCCTTTGGGTACTGCGGTCACACTCTCAGGTCATTGAGACCACTTCTAACTCAATATCCATTTCAGGTACGTCTTGAAAAACCCTTCCACGGTGTGTGCAACCGGGAAGTGATATTAGCCCTCATACCTAATAACAGCACTCAAGATCATTTATTCAGCTTCAATTGACTCATGATTTCAACTATATATAATATATAAATCTGTTACAAGTTATTCATTATCAATTTCCTGATTATTGTCTTAATTTAATTAGGCACGGTATTTTCGTGAACCAGTGGATTCAACAATTGTTAAACACTATAACGAATTAATAAAGTATCCAATTGATTTACATACTTTATATTCTGTAAGTTTTGTTTAATCTCTTCAAATATCTATGAATATCTTATATTATACTGTTGATAATTATTCGTACGTTTGTTAATATTATACATGTGTAACAATAACAATAATCGTAAGCAAAGATGGGTAGTGGCTAGCAGTGGAATCCAGGGCAAAGCGCGTTTCGCCATATTTGGGACTCGTCAGCTGGATGTACCTGCATCGCAGAGTCGATATTCACTCTGGGACTTGAACCCATTAGACTAGTGGATGAAGCGATGGCGTTTGAAGCGAAAGGTACTGGGTTCGAGTCCCATCAACAAATCTGAGATGCAGGTTGTTATATCTGTGGCCGAGTGGATTATTAGTTGATGGGTGAGGTGATGAGACCGTCAATTAGAGAGCAGCGAATTATTGACTGGAGCAGTGACTCGAAACCCGAACGAGCAGACTAGAGTGCTAACCGATCCTGCGATCTGCCTAACCCAGCCAGTTGAGTCCAGAACACAAATAACAGCCTCGGTAATATGAATCATTATTCACAAGCATACTGGGTTTATATACTAACCAAACAGACCAAATTATACCAAAAAATAGAAAAATAATATTTGTACAATAATTGGCCATTGTGGCTGTGGATAGGGGGAAAGTAATCAATAATAATAGTTCAAAGGTCAAAATAAGGGTTATGATAAGAGGAACATGTTATGCTTGAAACTCAATCGATTCCGCGGTAACGAACGAAAGCCAATGACACGATAAGCTATTCTAATCTGTTGTCCCAGGCCCCGCTAACTAGATGAAGAAGTCCAAGGCAAGTAGGGGAATATATATGTATTCCGTAAGCAGCCGAGTACAACCAATCGAAGGAGGGAAAAAGTCAAGCGCATTTATACAGCAACAAATTGTCCTTGAGCATTATTAGTAAATAGCACACACAAAGAAACAATGGACCAATAGCGTTTAAGATAGTTTACAAGTGGGAAATATGACGTGAAGGTAAAAGAGCGCTTTTGGCGCGAAAACAGCCAAATTCAAATTTTCAAAATAAAATTACAAAACTAAGCCATTTACCAAGTAAGTTCTGGGGATTTGACATCCCCAACAGAACACGAATACGATTAGATCAGTTATTTAACAACTATACAATAGGGAATAGGCATATTACATTTGTCCATAAATATACCTCAGATTTACCATTCATAATTCGCCAGGGGATATAACACAGGTACATCCAGCTGACGAGTTCAAAATAAGACGAAACGCTTGTCCTGTATTCCGCTGCTAGCCTCTATCCATCTTTGTTTACAATGCTTGCGAATTAAGGCTATATCGAGGCAATACGCACAGTATGCAGATATACCAATAAGAGACTGACCAGTTGCAGTCCTAAACATCAATGGGAAGATTCAAACAAGTATACTAAGAGAATTTAATAACAATAATCGATCGATGGTTTTAACTTAGATCTGCCTAGTTTAATTTAAGGACCCTGGTAATACTACTTTGTTTATATATAACTGAAGTATCGCTCGATTTTGAATGCGGCTTATAATCTACATTGTATTTTATTACTTACTTACTTACGCCTGTTACTTCTTCGCAAAAGAACATAGATTCGCCATCGGCATTCTATATCGAACTCTATCCTGAATAATCTTTTCCAGTTGTTGCCAGTTGCTATTCATCCTTTTAATGTCTACTTCTGATTCCCCACACACTGTGTTCTTTGACCTTCTTCTTTTCTGTTTCCCTTTAGGATTCCAAGTTAGCATGTGCTTCGTGATGCACTTTGGTGATTTCTATAATTTATATCCTATCCACTTCCAACGTCTTTTTTTAATCCCCTCTTCAGTTGAATGTTGGTTTGTTCTCTCTCAGAGTAGGCTACTGCTGATGGTATTCGGCCAACGGACATTAAGTATCATGTGTAGACAATTGTTTCTAAATACTTGTACATTTTTGATGATAATTGTGTTGGTTCTCGAAGTTTGAGTTCCGTAGAGTAGAACAGTGTTGAAGTTGGTATTGAAGATTGTGACTTGGATGTTGGCTTGCGAACAGTTGTTTTGAGTTCCATATGTTCTTCAAGTGTAGGAATGGTGTCGTTATTTTCTCAATCCTCATCTTTACGTCTGCATCAGATACTTCACGTTCATGGCTGATGCTGTTCATGTACGTGAAAATTGCCAACAGTGTCAGGGATCCTCCATTAAGTGTGATTGTGTTGGTGTACTCTGTGTTGTATTTGAGGATCATGCTTTTTCCTTTATGTATTTTGAGGCCCACTGATGCAGAGTCTGCTGCTAAACTAGTTGTTCTCATCTTCATCTGTTGGTGTATATGGAATAAAAGGTGCAGTTCATGTACGGACTCCCAATTGTCTAGTTGCATGCAAGCTGTTCGTTGTATTCTGTGGCCCCCGAATGCCCTGGTACGGTCGAGAGTGGTGAGAGTCTGCTCTCCTTCTCGAAATACTTTCATATGGCCACGCGAATATATAGCCTCTGCCAGGGAAGTCCTACTCACTGCCTTCTCGTGGCATTACTGTTGTTTACGAATGTGAGAGTGTGGAGAGCGAATGTTCGGCGCTTTAACCGGGTTGGTGGATATGGAGGATCCACCTAGAGGAGTTGGAAAACCCTGATTCCAAACCAGTGGTGCTCATGGGCTCCAGGATCTTGAAGGAACGAATGGCATATGAACCAACTGTTGGTCATCGACTTCCATGAGACTGAATCTCCTTATGATGCTCCACTACCTTGTGGATCAGACCTTTAGGTCAAAGGCTACGTGTATGGCCCCCTAAGAAAACCACCTGCTTCAGTTTGGGCACCATGGCAGTATCACAGCCCTCACACAAGTCAAATGAGACTTGTGAGGCGCATATTTATCTAGTGCTTCATTGTACAAATATTCATGTGTTTACATAAAATAAAATAAAATAAATTCTGTGCTTCTTCTGAGATGTGAAGGTCTATCGTTGGTGGAGTGACAACTATCGGGAGTTCTGTGTATACTGCTTCTATATCCGGGGGATTCAATGGAGCTGGCCTACTCAAGAGCTCCTCAAAGTCTACTCATCTATTCCTCTGTTCATAAATCTTAGTAATTGGCTTGCCTTGTTTGTCATTGACTGGTCTCTCTGGTTTACTATATTTCCCTGTTATTTTCTTCGTTGTTTCATATGGTTGTTCGATATTTCTTTCTGTCGCACCATTTTACGCTATCATAGCTAGGTGTTTGACATTTTTCTGCTTGTCAGTTCTAATGTTTCTCTTCACTTGCTTGATAACTTCATTGTATTCAGTTTGTGCCTTCACTTTCTATGTTCTTGTTCTAGTGTTGTTGATTGCTGTCTTCTTGTTCTTCTTTTGTTGTATGTTGTTCAGGGTTTCGATAGAGATCCATTCATTTTGATCATCTTTGTCGCGGTCCAGCACCTCCTGTCATGTTGAAATTAGTACATCTTCGATCGCTTTTCAATTGTCGTTCATAGTAGTTTGTTCTTCTTTGAGTCGATTTTGTAGAGATTATAACTTGTTGTTGAGAGCTATGTTGAATTGATTGAGTTTGTATATCGGAGGAAGACTGTATTGAACCTTTGTAATGGTGTTTCTGGTGTTGTCCAGTGGTTTTTTAGCTTCAGTTTGATGTTGGCGACCACGAGTTGGTGATCTGAAGCTATGTCAGCTCCTTTCCTGGCTGTCACATGTTCCAATGACGTTGTGAAATTTTTAGTGATGCAAATGTGATCGATCTGGTTGTGTGTAGTGTGACCCGATGAGACCCATGTAGCTGTGTGTATGGGAATGTTGTGCCCACCTATAATCATTTTGTTGAATGCACATATATTTGCAAATCTCTCACCATTCTCATTTCTTTCTCCCAGTCATTCCATGTCGTCTCATGATATCTTGATCTCCTGTGTTGTCCATTCTGACTTTGGTGTTTAGGTCTGCCATCAAAATGGTCAGGTCGTTTCCTTATCATTTCTCTGTGACCGATTGCAGCCTTTCATAAAACTAATTTTTATCGTTTTCGTTGCTATCATTGTTGAGTGCATAACACTGGATAACATTGATTGTGTTTCTCTCTTTCAATGTTTTGAAAGATGTCTTGATAATCATGATTTGATGAGATTCCCTTCGTATAACTGCTTTCTATGCTTCTTTGGACAGCATCAGAGCAACTTCCTGAGTGTGCGGAGTATTCTATCCTTCGTGATCAGAGTAGAGCAGCATCTCTCCTAGATCCATCATTTTCTGTCCAGCTTTTTTCCATCGGGTTTCACTGATTCTGAGTAGCGTCAATTTGTGTCTTCTCTTGATTTCGGTATCTATTTGGTTGGCCCTCTCGATCTGCTACATTGTCCGAATATTCTATGTACCTATAATGATTGTTGTGGTTGTGAGAAGGTGCATTGACCTCGTGACTATGAGATTGGTTTGTTGACCACATATCTACCTTCCCTGGTTTACCCGATCTTTAGAGCAGCAGTAACCAAGGTGCTTTCTTATTTATCAGGTCATTCAATAAAAACACTCATTTTTTTGGTTGATCAATTTAAAAAACAGACTACTATATAATTGTTTAGTAATATACATAAAATCGCAAACGTTCCCTATAATTTACATTGATTTGTTAACTTCACAGTCTCATTTCATTTGTTATCTGTACTCTGTCACCGAAGTAATTTCGTATAATTGCCATTGATGGTTGTTAATACTTCGGAGTGTTTCATTTGAAGCTATAATATCCCTTATCTATGTCCCTTTTTACTCATTGGATTGGTCTCTCGACCAGATCACGTATCAAAATGAAGATTAAAGAAATGAGCAACACCGGAAACCAATGGTAAGATCCAAAAATAGTCAACCTATATGGATGTTATCATACGACTTATTGTTCCTATTTAATTGTCAATCGATTATTCACAGCCAGTTTGGGCCTATTTGTGTGTAGTTATAATCAGTCTCTTATTGGTATATGTGCATATTGTGCGTATTGCTTCGATATAGCCTTAATTCACAAGTATTTCAAGCAGTGATGGATAGTGGCTATCTGACGAGTCCCAAATAGGAGGAAATGCGCGTCTTGGATTCCACTGCTAGGCACTATCTATCTTTGCTTATGACGATAGATCTGGCCTAAATATGAATTAGTTGTTAAAGTAATTCAACTTTTTGTTTAGAAATTACTTGACTCTGTGGTGTGTAATAATTGGTCCAAACCTTATGTTTTCAATTAAATCTGTCTAACAAACGTAATCTATGAAGTTGAAGACATCATTATTTATTTATTATTTGAACACATAAATATTGGTACAAGGGGGCACCAGATATATATGCGCCACACAAAAAATTGTCATTTCATTCAATTGTATGAGGGCTATGATACTGCCCGGGTGCCCAGACCGAAGCAGGTGGTTTCTTGTAGGAGGCCACACCCGGAGCCTTCCACCTAAAGGTCTGATCAACAAGGCAGTGGAGCATTGTAAGGAGATGCAGTCCCATGGTAGCCGGTGACTAACGATTAATTTATACGCTATTTGTTCCCTCAGGATACTGTGGACCATGTGCACCATTTGTTTGTAATCAGGGTTTTCTAACTCCTCTAGGTGTAACCTCCGTGTCCACCAACGTGGTTAAAGCTCCGGACATTAGCTTTTCGTCCTGTCAATTTCGTAATGTTTAAATTTGTTAATTTAAGTTGGTTTATTTTGATTAAGATTGTTTTCTACGAGATTGGTTTGTTGACCCCATATCCATCCACCTTCCCTGTTTTATCCGGTCTTTAGACCATCATTAACCTTAGAAGGGCTGTAGGTGAAATGTTTAATTATTACCTGTTCATACGTCTTCATTTTTTCAATCATCAGGTATTAAAGTTCAGATTCTAGTACCTCTAAGTAAAGGTTTTGCAATTTTACTTAACTATATTACTTAGAAGTAGTTATTTTTTATTACGTAACGTTTTATCAGCTAGTCAGATGCTTGTTTGCTTTTTTATTACCTGAACATTTTTATACAAGTAGTTCATTGCCTTGATATAAGTGTATCTGCATTTGATAACCTACTTGATTTAGTTAATTAATGTCTCGTGTAGGTTTGAACTTGTGTTACTGAATAAACGTCACTAGTGATTTGATAAAGCTGTGAGTTTTCTTACTTACGTACGCCTGTTACTCCCAGTGGAGCATAGGTCGCCGACCAGCATTCTCCAACCCACTCTGTCCTGGGCCTTCCTTTCTAGTTCTATCCAGTTTTTGTTCATTCTTCTCATGTCTGTCTCCATTTGTCGGCGTAATGTGTTCTTTGGTCTTCCTTTTCTCATTTTGCCTTCAGGATTCCATGTGAGGACTTGTCTTATGACACAGTTGGGTGATTTCCCCAAAGTGTGTCCTATCCACTTTCAGCACTTCTTACTGATTTCTTTCTCCACTGAAATCTTGTTTCTTCTCTCCCACAGTAGAATGTTGCTGATAGTGTCTGGCCAACGGATCCGAAGTATCTTGCGTAAACAACTGTTAATAAACACATGTGTCTTCTGGATGATGGCTTTCGTAGTTCTCCACATCTCCGCCCCATACAGTAGAACTGTCTTGACATTTGTATTGAAAATTCTGATCTTGGTGTTGGTTGACAGACAATTGTTTTGAGTTCCAGATGTTCTTCTATTAATCAATATTGTTGTGTTACGTATCACCAACCATCAACTACCTTGACGATCAGTGTTTCTTTTCAAACTAGGTTTATTATATTGTCTTTTCCAGTCATAGGTACTTCTATCACTCCAGCTTTTTAGTTATAAATCTTGTTGATTTCATGTGAGTGCACTAATAATTTATGGGAGTGTGAGTCAGTGCTTAGTTCAGTGGTCTTGAGTGCTGTTAGAGGTATAATGGTAGTTATCACTCCCCGGTTGCCCACATCGTGGAAGGATTCTTCTAGAGGTACCTAAAAAGGAAATTGGATTAGAAGTGGTCTTAATGACCTGGAAGCGCGACCGCAGTGCCCAATGGACAACTGCTCGGGGTCGGTCACACACGACCTCTTTGTGGGTAATTTTTGTGTTAGCTCCGTACTTGTTGGGACCTTACCACCGGAGTTGGATATCCGTGGTATAAAGCGAGGTGTGTATTTTGAGGGTCGTCCTTTTCTAACCTCACCGCTCCTTGTTGGAGGGCAGCGTCGCTGCAGATGCTGATTGTCTGGAGGAAACACCTTACTACTGTCATATCTCTGTGTAGTCAGCAGTACGACTTCGCCTTCGGACCTTGGGTTTACTGCTTTTAGTCTTACTGCTCGTCAACCGACCTGTTTGGCTTGTTAGGACCTTGAGTAACGATTGTTCCAGCCAGTATAGCTCGTTTGGTTCAACAAGATAGACAAGCCCAACCACCACTTCAAGGTAGCAGCAACGGTCGAGCAATGGTTAGTTCTGATTATAACTGACTGCTTTATTCTTTATTTCTCCGTCATTATAATGTTTTGAACTCTCACTGTTTATCGATGTATGGGTTTTTTTCTTTCACATAATAAAAGTGAATATTTATGTTTCTTTTTTATACATGTGCGTATTTCTCCCTTAATTTCTTGGTGAATCAGCGTGTTAAGTCAGGTGAATACGCTTCACCTCAAGCTTTTCTTGGCGATTTCCGATGGATACTTCATAACTGTATTATATTCAATGGTGGTGAGTGTTTTTTTGCTACTTTTTTCATTGAAAAATGGTAGGCACGGTTTCAGTTTATCATAATTCAGTCATTCAGTCAGCTACAACGTACGACCAGACACATATATGCATCGGTCCAAGTTATCATACCTCATTAGTACAACAAGAACACCGAATTCATTGAAGTAGTTAATTTAGTGGTGTTAATATATAAAAGGAAAGTTGTATATAAAAAAATAGTACAGGATGAAAGACAGGTATGAAGGAATTTTAATCTCACGGTTTAAGGGAAGACAAATAGTGTATACACCTACGCCATTGTGATGGATTTTAAGCCATGTCAACCACAGTCTGCACCCATTGGTTGCAGTAAGATTTGAAGGTCTTGGCCCTAGTCCGATGTGGTGTTATGATTGCACACTTCTAGAGAGTTCTTTCAGTGGCTCTTCTACTTGATCCCGTTGAATGCTGCAAGCATTCATAATGATTAAAAAATCTTTCTCCTATTTAACAAAGATTAGCTAGCAATACAATTAATTAATACAACACCTAATAATCCAGTTAGATTATAGTTGAAAGTGTCATTTTGAAATAAATCGGAAGGGGTTTTTGTGAAGATTACAGTATTTTCATAGTTGAAATCATAAGTCAATTGAAGCTAGACCACCATGAAAAACCTGATAGATCCTGGATTCGAATCTCGCAAGTGTAGGATCGTCGATGCACATTGCTGAGGAGTCCCATAATAGAACGAAGCGGCCGTTAAGCAGTGCTTCCAGGTTTTCCATGGTTGTCTAGCTTCAATTGACTCATGAATTTGAAATAAATCAATTTTTTGCTAAGAGTGTTTCATTTTCCTTCCTTTTAAATTTTAGCCAGTTCTTCTATTACATCATCTGCACGTCTACTAGATCGTACATTTCATCGAGAATTTAATTTAATGCGTGCTTGTCCAATATGTTATCTTAATCGTATGCCAGCAATTCATTTATTACCATCAACAACTAAAAAATTGCCTCCATTAACTGAAAATGAATCTGAATCTTATTTAAATGTAGCTTCAGTACGATCATCAAATGAATCAAATGAGATAATTGAAAGTGATAATATTAGCGTTGTTAATGGTGTTAACAATGAATGCAATAGTAGTAATACTCATACTAATACTACTAGTAATAATAGCGAATCCAAAAGTTCGTCATCGTCGTCATCATCATCATCATCGATATCTACATTAGATCCTTGGTGGTTCTGTAAATTATGTGTAAGTATTTATTTTGTTTGTTTTATTTACTTTCTGATTGAGCATTAATCTTGGATGACGATCAAATGTATAATCAACAGGAACACTAACCCAGGTTCGTATCCTGGCAGCGACATTCCATTGCCCCCCAAATGCCCAGGTACGGCCGAGAGTGAGGAGAGTCCATTCTACCTCTCCAAATGCTCTCATATGGCCACGCGTAGACAGCCACTGCCAGGGAAGTCCTACTCACTGCCTTCTCGTTGCGGTGGTGTTTTGTAAGAAATTGAGAGGACGAAAAGCGAATGTCCGGTGCTTTAACCAGGTTGGTGGACACGGCACGTCCACCTAGAGGAGTTGGAAAACCCTCATTCCAAACCAACGGTGTACATGGGCTGTAGTATCCTGAGGGAACAAATGTCGTATGAATCATTAGTTGGTCACCGACTACCATGGGACTGCATCACCTCACGATGCTCCACTGCCTTGTTGATCAGATCTTTTGGTCGAAGGCTCGGGGTGTGGTCCCCTAAGAAGACTACCTGCTTTATTTTGGGCACCTGGACAGTATCACTTTATCTATTATAATTACTTCCGACTACTAACGCTATACATTCTAAGCGTAACCCTATTCCCAAGCCCTTCATGATTAAGTTGAAGCTAGACCACCATGGAAAACCTCGGTTAAGTGCTCTGGCTCGAGAATGGTAGGTCTTGGTTTCGAGTCTCGCGTGGCAGGATCATGGATGCGCACTGCTGAGGAGTCCCATAATAGGACGAAACGGCCGTCAAGCAGTGCTTCCAGGTTTTCGATGGTGGTCTAGCCTCAATTAACTCATGATTTCAACTATGAAAATATTTTAAGATAGTCATGACTTTTATCTTAATAATAATAATAATTATCGTTATCATTACTTAGAATGTGATTCATCCAATTGTTTGGATACGCCTACAAAATTATCCACGTTGGCCAGCTAAAGTTATTGCACATGATGGTAATTTTCTTCTTGTTTCATTTTTTGGTGATTATGATGTAACTATTGCACCAATTGGTTCTGCTAAACTTCATTCATCTAATCAATCAAAAAGTTTATCTAAACTATCTATCATTACTATGGATATTAATACTACTACTAATAATAATAGTAGTGATAAAGAAAATAGATCTGATTATGATGGTACCAAATCTATGACTTCTATGGATAATAATGATATTTCAAATGATCCTAGTGTTGTAACTTCTCACTTATCTTCCAAGACAACTTCTTCATTATTAACATCATCAATGGATCCTATAGTTCAAGAGAATTTTCATAAAGCTATTACAGAATTAAATTATCATGTCAATCTAATTTATCAACGTTATCCTAATTTTAAACTGCCTGTGAATCAATTAAGATTTACTAAACGTCATGTTAAAAAATATTATGGGTAAGTAAGTAAAGTGAATGTATAATTTTAAATTTATTTAATATTGTGTTTATGGCTATCAGGACTGCAACTGACCGATTGGATAACGCAATGGCGTTTGAAGCGAAAGTTACTGGATTCGAGTTCCTCCCAGAGTGAACATCAACAAGTCTGAGATGTAGGTACATCCAGCTGACGAGTCCAAAATAGGACGGAACACGTGTCAATCTGAATTCCAATGCTAGCCACTATCCATCTCTGCTTACCAAAGCATAATTTTTTTTTTTAAATGTTCATACATTTTCAGTCTTGTAATCGGTTGGTGATGATCCAGAAAGCCCAGATTGACTCGAATTGAAATCCAATACAGAGTATTATCTTTATCAAGATATTAGGTAGACCCTCAATCAGTCAGTCAGTCAGTCAATCACAACGTAGAACTTCGTACGTACGTACGTACAGTAGTTCGAGTTGCCATACCACATTAACACAGAGAAGCAGTTGTCCATTCAAATCCCATTCTAGTAGAAGTAGAAAGAGTATAAGCAGCAATTGGAAAGATTAAGGTTTGAAGATGTCATTCAAGGAGTATAATCCAATGAAGTAAATTTGGAAAGAGAAAAAAATAGAGACATGAAGAATTCAGAAGATTAGAATTTGGAAGAACACAAAGAGTGGATACACTTTCGCCATTGCAAACGATTTTGAGTCATGTCATTCAACGTCTCTAACCATCGATCGCTATCATCTCACGAATCCCACCAGGTAGTCTACACCTACCAACATGGCTCAGTTCACTTTTCAGTGACTTCACGGATTTGTACCATGTTTTGGTCTGGCCGCCCCTACCTTTCTTCCAACCTACTCCGACACCATAAAACATTAGGTAGACCCTACTGACAATTACCAAAGGCTCGAGGATTGGCCCTCCAAGAATACCACCTACTTCGGTTTTAGTAGTCGAGAAGTATCCCAGCTGACAGAAGTTTACTGATAACTTGTGTGGCGCATTTGTATTTCGGTGCCCCTTCATATCAATGTTTATGTGTTTACAAGTAACCAAATAAATTTATACCTGCTAAACATCTGTCAGTGTAGTGCAATCAAGATTTATATCATTTTATGAATAGGTGAATATTTCACCCTATTGTCTCTCTTTGTATTAGTCCATGAATATAAACCATAGTCTTTGAAGACAAAAATCATGTGTTTTCAAAGTTATTGATCATAGATATTTTCAAAGGATTTATGATCTACGGTGGAAGAACAGAACATGATTATAAATCAGTCGATAATATTTTGGAACTTATCCACTTAAATTGTCTGGTGAACACAAGAATGGGTTAAATTTCTCACTGGATAAAATCATTAATTGTTATTCACTTGGTATTGTTTGTTTGAATCATTACTCATTAGCTGATTGAATAACGCGATGGCATTTAAAGCGAAAGGTACTGGGTTCGATTCCCAGAGTGAACATCAACTCTGAGATGTAGGTACATCCATGTGACGAGTGCCGAATAGTATGGAATACGCGTCAAACTGAATTCCACTGCTAGCCACTATCCATCTTTGCTCATTAATTGTTAGTTTGAATTATATTGGAAATTTCAGAATTCCCGTCTGAAATCTGTATAATTATGGGTTGGTTTAGTGACGAACAATGCCTTTTCGAGTATAATCATCAACGAAACATTTACATTTTTTCAACTACAAAGAATAGATTGCTTTCTTCAGTCAGTCAGTCAGCTACAAAGTAGGAGCAGGCAGCTGAATTATTTCTAATAGGATGTAATTCGTTTGTACCTACGTATTACTTTCTCATTTGATGTTGTCCACAATAAACATTCAATTTGTGTTAACCTGGTTAGTTAGGACCAAACAAACCAAAACGTAGCATCAGTCCATAGAGTCTGAGCCATATTAATAGATACAAACTACTTGGTTGGGATCCGAGTGAATATCGTAACCAATGATTGAAGACCCTAGCTGACATGGGTGAGAATCGATCATAATGGTGTAGGTGTATACATTCTCTGTCCTCCCTTAAACGGTGAGATTAAAATTTCTTTATACCTTTCTTCATGTATTATATCTCTATATTCAATCTTTCTTTTATATATTATTACCATTGAAGTCACTACTTCTATGAACTTTGGCGTTCATGTTGTTCTGCTAATGAGGTGTGGCAACAGTGGACCGATGATTATATGTACTTGACCCTACGTTGTAACTGACTGACTGATAACCTGATTTACTTAACTAATCAATAAGTATTAACTAAATATTATTGATAATTAATAACACCCATTGATCTATGTATATTTTATTTGTTTAATTTCATTTGTTCCTTTTTAAATTGTTGCCATTGATACTAACATTAAATATTCTGATGAGGAGTCCCACAATAGGACGAAACAGCCGTTCAGTGCTTCAAGGTTTCTCATGATGGTCTAGCTTTGATTGACTCATGGTTTTAACTATTAGAAAAATAAAGAGTTGGGGGGGGGAGGAGAGAGTGTGTGTGACTGAACTGATTTATATTTGTATAAGATGTTATTATACTAACCTTGAATCAGTCTGAATTATATGGATAGTAAATGATTGCACAGCATCAACCCCCTATGCCATACTATCAGAAACCCATAGTGTAAATGATACTTACTCTTATATGAACCTATTTACTTGAAAGAAAGTAGTGTATCAGATGGCCTGCATTGAAACATCCTTAGGACCACTCGATCAGATAAACAAAGCAATCTGAATCAAACTGGCTTCATTTGTCTTCAATCTATACGATGAACTTGTGTCATTGTTTTTGACGACCAGAAATCTAAATTAACCTCTCCTAGGACACAAGGTTCCACGTAGGAGAGTTGGAAAATCTTGATTCTAGACCAATAATGTACATGGTCTACAATATCCTTAAGGGACAAATGGCGTATGAACCAATGGTTAGTTACCGGTTACTATTGAGCTGCATCTTATTACGTTGGTCCACTGACTTGTGGACCAGATATTTGGGTCGGAAGCTCCGTCTGTGGCCCTCTAAGAAATTCACGTGTTTTTCTCTTAGCATCCAGGTAGTATCATAGCTTACACACAAATCAAGTTATTTGTATTGCATATATTTATTCGGTGCCCTTTTGTACCAATATTTATGTGTTCAAATAAATAAATGTATAAAGACATCTAGATGAACTTCAATGAAATGTTAAAAGAGTGTAAAATAAGGTTCAGTAAAGTAAGCACGAAATATCGCCAAGAAAAATGGGTAAACTGAAGAAGAGTCATGTTAGGATTTCTTTTAGACAAACATCATGATCGAATACGCAAAATGTATTTAGACGGAACATGCAAGTAAGCGCTACATTGGTTCAAATGAATCCAACTTGTTGCCACAAACGATGTATTGTAAGACGTGTAAACCTGGGTTTGTGAGGTTCAGAAGAGTGAGTCATGTTCAGAGTAGCGGGCGTCTATTAGGTAAAAGATTGCCAAGCTAGCTTCAGGACTGGGTTTTGGAGGACTACTGGGGATATATGTAACTAAAGTAACGTCCTACACAAGCTATAGAAGGAATTGTTTGTTGGTAACGTAAGCACAGAGTTGTGGCTTGTAAGATTGAATGAGCACATGTAGAAATATTTTATGTTCACATTGAAGAAGGTACATCACCAAGTTAGATCAAGGAGGCTTGGGAAGACTCTAAAAAGATAGATTGCAAATTTGAACTACCAGTCTATACAAGGTCAAAGAACACATCACGCCGGGAAATAGAATCAGATATGAAAAGGGTGAATGACAACTGGAAAGAGTTACCCAGGATAGGGTTGCATAAAGAATGCTGGTTGGCGGCCTATGCCCCTCCACGAGGGCTAACAGGCGTAAGTCTATGTAAATAAATTTGGAAAAGAAATTTAGTAACAATTCCATACCTGTATTAAGATAACATCGGTAGATGGAGTAATAAAAGGCAAATATATTACGAGCCATTCAAAAGGATATCAAAGGAACAGTATTTGTTGAAAAGCATATCGAGTAAATTGTCAACCATAATGAATGGAAAAACCTTTCAAAAAGTCATAGCAGTCAAAACCTTCTCGTTTTTGAATCAACTACCTGAGATAATCATTCAATAAGTCTATAAAAACACCAAGATATGAGTTTAATCATACACATCATATTGATGAAGTGGAATTTGTCCTTTTATTTATTTATTTAAACACATAAATATTGGTAAAAGGAAGTACGAGATACATATATACCACACAAATCACAAAAGCCCCCAAATGCCCTGGTACGGCCGAGAGTGGGGAGAGTCACCTCTCCCTCTCGAAATGCTCTCATATGGCCAGCGAATATATAGCCTCTGCCAAGGAAGTCCTACTCACTAGCTTCTCGTGGCAATAACCTTATTCACGAAATTAAGAGGACAAAAAGTAAATGTTCGGCGCTTTGACCGGGTTGGTGGACACGGAAAGTCCACCTAGGGAAGTTGGAAAACCCTCACTCCAAGCCAATAGTGCACATGGGCTCCAGAATCCTGGGTGAACAAATGGCGTATGAATCAACCGTTGATCACCGGCTACCATGGGACTACATCTCCTCATGATGCTCCACTGCCTTGTGGATCAGACATTCAGGTCAAAGGCTCCGGGTGTGGCCCCCTAAGAAAACCACCTGCTTCGTTCTGGGCACCTGAGCAGTATCACAGCTCTCACACAAATCGAATGAGATTTGTGCGGCACATATGTATCTGGTGCTTCCTTGTACCAATATTTATGTATTTAAATAAATAATAAATAAATAAACACAAATCAAATGAGATTTGTGTGAGGGCTGTGATGATACTGCCCAGGTGCCCAAACTGAAGTAGGTGGTTTTCTTGGGGGGTCACACACGGAGCATTTGACTTAAATGTCTGATCTGTAGATTAGTGGAGGATATGCAATCTCATGGTAGCCGGTGACAAACAATTGATGCATACGCCATTTGCTACTTCAGGCTACTGTAGCCCA